TCCATGTTTTCGGAATTTTGTTATTTCTGATGCAGTTGTTGATTTCAGTAAGGATGAGTTTGTGGGTTTCTTCGGTTAAGCTTTTCAGGAGTTTAACCTTTATTTTGTCTTTTCCCGGTGCTGTGTTTTTGATATGTGATAGGGCTTCATCGTACTCTGTGTCTCTGTTTAGTTTGTAAGTTGTTAAAGTAGTTCAAGTGCCAGTCATTGATCATGTTCCAGTTGTCATTGTCGAAGTTAGGGTTTGTCGATATGCTGAAGGCCTTTTGTGTGCCTTATTTTTTCATTTGAGCAAAAAACCAGGATTCGTGGCGATGTGAATGAAACGTCCATTTGGGTGTTGATGGTTGGTTGAAGGTTCAATAAAAGGCTGCGTTCGAGAATCGATCGAAAAAATCACTTTATTTGGTCACAAAGCGCACTTTAATGAAATAATGAAACGGTAGAAGAAACGACAGCTAGAAGCAATGACGACGTTCATTGCATTGTCATTATTAAACGTGCTAATTATTGGAAAATCCTTTGGTGTCCACTTACTACCTAAGTTGCATCGCGCCTACTAATGTACAGTAATAAATAATTTCACTTTTGTGCCTATATATACAATCACAATAAAAGCTTTGAAACATTAGCGGAAACATTGACCGAGCGCACACGCCGCTGGCCTGACCTAGTACCAGGCCAGGCCCGATCGTATTTACATAAATAACAATGTACATCTGGAATGTTGCCCAGGCAGTGCTGCAGGAATGCACTTCAACATTCCCTGCCTAAGCTGGGGCATAGAGAGCTTTCTCCCGAGCCCATTCAGAAACTCTTCCGTCGCCTCGGGACATAAACCGGCTTTCATACATACTGGAAGTTTTCCTTGCTGGAGAGGAGCGGCTCGCCTTCGACGGTTTGATCGAACTCGAAACTATTCAGCCAGTCTTGGTGCTCGGCCTTCCGGCACCCGAACAACGTGCACTCGAAGAACTCAAGCAGGTTCCGGACTGGGCCCTTGGAGAACGGACTCTTGCCGCGATTGGCTATAAAGTGACTGTACCTGCCCTTGTTCATCCGCTCATTGGTCGTCATCCCCAGTATGACAATCTGAAAGCGAAACAAGGGTCTGGTTTAAATACCAGGTATTTCGCCTCTTACTGACTTTGACAGAAATGATCATGAGTTCAGTCTTCCTGGAATTCTCGGTTAATTTGCCGAGGGAGCTCAGGAGGTAAATTGCCATAAATAGGGGACAATAGTCGGGTTTTTGCCCGGCTTTAAGAATAGAAAACCCCCCGAATAATTGGAAAAAAACCGTGGAAAACAGTCTCACCTGATAGAGCTGGCAGATCAGAAGCATGAAGACCCAAATACCGTGGAACGCTGCATGCGCCGACACCCATGCCACCCACGTGTCGCACTGCTCTACAGCCATCACCGTTTCCCAGACGGTTTTGTTGTTCTGTAGGTCCAGCGCGTGGCAGTTGGGGTCGCTTTTCCAGAAACTGAACGCCCCCAACAGCATCTGCAGGCACATGATGACCAAACAGGCGAGGAACCCGATGAAGTGATGATGGTTTTTCGCACCTGCATTCAAAGACATTGGGGATAACTGAACATATTGATTAGATGGGAAACTTACCTATGCAGTTGGCCACCCAGGGACAATGATGGTCGAATCTTGCGACGCATCGGTTGCAAATTGAACAGTGCTTGGAACGGAGCGGTCTGCGCACCAGACAGGCCGAGCAGAAGCTGGATGGTTCGAAGCCGCTGGAGCCCTTTTCCGCCAGTTCCAGAATTGTCTGCAAGCGACAAGAAGTGTTTTAAAGGCTTGAGAAAATTGGTAAACGAGAGTAGGGCTCGGAATCAAAATCAAATAATTCGAGTTTTCGAATATTCGAAAAGCGAATAATTATGTGTAGTCATGACTCGAATAATCGAATACTCGAATACACCAACATTATCAAACTCACAAGGTGTAAATATCTTTATATGCACTTTGTAAATATCTTTATATGCACTTTGTATACTTTTATAAAATAAATTATTCATATTCTACAAGCATTTAAACAAATACCTATATATTGTACCGTGGATAGCCGAGTATCAAACTCTTTCTTCTGCTTCCAACTTTTATTCCACTCGGTACAACTTCAACTACGGAACAGGAACAAACTAACTTCAAAATTACCGTCAACT